TTATCGTGAGGACTCGCCCAGCGACACGGGCGACGAAGGGGAGATGCGGCGAACGACGACGGAGGAGTTAGAGCGGCTGTTGGACGGACCCGAGAAGGAGTATGACTTGGCGGTGGCGAAGGCGCGTCCGGCGGCGGACCTACGTTGGTTGTTTGGCATGTTGCTGCTGCTGGCGTCCACGTTGGTGACAGTGACTTATTTGACGCAGTACCTGGGGGGGCTGCGGATCACGAGTACACAAATCCCGAACGAGTCCTGCGACCTAGGCATCGACGACGTGGGCGCGTTCGTCTGGCCTGCGCAGGTCGCCGCTTGCGACGGCATTGTCGGCGGAGATGCCATCGAACACCTCAGCGCCAACCGCCAGCGCTGGGCCTGCCCCACCGGAGCCGCCAACAGTGTGACCGCGGAAAGCCTGGCCGCCGACAGCCTGGCCGCCGACAGCCTGGCCGCCGACAGCCTGGCCGCGGACGTTCTCTCGGATCCGGACTCGGATCCGGACTCGAGCTCGTCAAAGAAACCCCTTGTCCAAAGATCCGGCGTGAGCGTCTCGAACCGCTGGTACGGCGTGTCCGTTCTGCGCTCGATGCTCTTCCTCGCTATTCCCTACTCCATGGGCAAAGTCGCCGCCGCCAACCGACGAACGCTGCGCTTGGCACTTGTCGGCCTCACCCTTCTTCTCTCTTGGTTCCTTGGCTGGATCACATTCAAGAACACTCGCGACAGTTACGATCATTATACTTGCATGACCAAACTTCACGTCACAGATGCGAGCAACCTCACCTTCGAACCACTCACCTCCAAACTCCCCTTCGTCCTGACCGCAGTCGACACTCTCAATCTCGGCCTCCAACTCGTCTAACTTAGACACCCTTATTGGACGACCGTGTTGAGACACGCTTGTTGAGACATCGGAGTCTCAACTCGATACATTCGTGCACCACACGCTGTTCACCAGCAGCTAGTGCTCAGTTGCCTTTTACCGGAAACTCGAGCCACATTATCAAACCCTTTACCACACCCTTCTTGATTGCATATCCTTCTGTAGCCGGTATCACTCACTGGCAGAGGTTTGTTATAGTTAGTGTTTTTGTGGTGACTGTTCGGTGCTAAGCGAGCGAAATGGTCGAGAAACGTGTGCCAGAAGACGGCAGAGTACCCTAACCGGGTTTCGGCTAAAGAATGTCCCTAACGTGTGGCCCTAACACAATGTGGCCCCACTCCTACCCCTGTACGAGGTTAAATATGTCTCGCCCAATTAAGTAAGTCCCATCCGGTGTGCCGATTGGGGCGGAATTAGGCGCGGGCTGAAAATTTTATTTTTAAATGAAGTGCAGCCTGCCGGACCATGGCAGACGAGACGGATGCATGGCTGCGTTGGCTGAGGTGATATGGCCGGTGTGCGTGGATGGGTACTGGATCAACGGGGTGGACGTGTGCGATTTGTTATCGGAGCGTACATCTCCGACTCGGGCGGCGTTGGTTAGTGCTTTGGGCTTGCTGAAGAGTTTGCCGGACACGGCCTTAGTGTTGTGTGCGACGGAGTTGGAAACCGATCGGCGGGACCGTGCCTTCGTGACCCGGGCTTGGGCGCAGTTGCTGGATGAAAGTCCGTTGTTGGAGACGTGTTTGCTCGTCTCCGTGGCGGACTTTTTACGACAGGAAGCGTTGACAGCAGACCACCGTCTGACCTCCCGCAAACCTCGCCAACGCGCCGCCTTCGAACGTGACGTCGCACACTGGGTACGCAGATTCGGCTCCGTCGTTCACGCAGCCCGAGCCACTCCCGGTGCCACGGCCCTCCGAGTGCCTCAATGCCTCAAGAACCGTCTAGATGACCTCTCTCCGGACAAGCCGGCCGACCGGTCCAAGCTCCAGCGTTGGACACGAAAAAAGCGACAAAAGGTCATAGGCGAAGAGGAAAAGGCCGAACCTAAAAACCTCGAGGACTTGACTGCCAGGTACTGGAAACGTGTTCTCATCAACGACTGTGGCCATTTCGTACAACTTCCCACTGCAGCGACACCGCAACGCGCAACCTACGCCGTTTCACGACGCCGAGTAGCCACTCACATCGCTGATGACCACCACGACGACACACACACTCACCTTTTATCTGCCGAACGACTCTTCTGGAATGGAGAGTAATGCGAAACATTCTGTTGAAAAAAAGTTATATTCGTACCGTCATCATCCCTCCGGAGCCCCCCAAAGAGAGCAGCACCTCACAGAGAGACAACACCGTCTTGAAGCTGAGGGCAAAAGCCGGTGGGAGTAAACACTCGTTGCCAGAGCTGCAGGACCCGAACCGAGCCGATGTCGAGCCTGCCTGCTTGCGTTTTCTCTTTGGGTATGCTCCCGAAGGTATGATGCTGCTCCGAAGGTATGATGCTGCCCAGAAGCGACACTCATACTGCATCAGGGTCGCCACAGCGCCTGTCCACCCCACCTACCCCAGTCAGTGGTTGCCATTCAGTTGTCCTCAAGTAGCTTGAGGGTTATCCTCGAGGCCAGCAGTCAGCTTGTACGTTGGGTGGTAAACTGTTGCTTATGTTCGGGTCATTCTTTGTCTCCGGCAAATGTTTGCCCTCTTCGGGTGGGTGAGTGCTTGAGGTCAGTGCTTGAGGTCGGTGCTTGAGGTCGGTGCTTGAGGTCGGTATCCGTGGGTGGGTCGTTAGGTCTATTCCGTGGGTGGCGTGACGCTGACGGTGAGGAGTGTATCACCACCGCGTCCTCTAGTTTCGGTTTGGTATTGGACGTGGCGTGCTAGTTCGCGAGCAACAGTGCCTTCAAAGGCGTCATGTTCATCGTCGTTGGTAAGGAAGTCGGTAACAGCGTGTGTGAATTGGTCTGGCTTCGTGACTTGTAAATATTTGTATCCGAGTGGTTCCCGTCGAGAGCGTGCGACAAGCGTGACCATGGGTACTGGTAGTTGGCTTGTCTGGCAGGCCTGTTTAATTTGTTTCTCAGAGAACTCAAGACAAGGATCTTGTTTGGATGGAGTGACAGAAACATGGACACGTTGATTGCCAGTTTTAGTAGCTTGCATGAGGATATCCTTCGTTGGATACTTGGAGTATCCCGGAGTTTCAACCCGATAGGAGCGTCGGCTGTCGCTGGTAGGTGTGATGGCGATGGAAGTGTTGCTTAGCTGTTCCAAGAACTTGGACTCGTCTAAAGGTGGACAGAAGACGGCACTGAAGATGGAGCTATCGATGATGAGCGAATAGGCGCCCAGCACAAAACATGTCACAGCAATACCCCACAGTGCCAAGTCGGCAAGCACCGTCGTTTCATCGCGATCGCCATTAAAGACATAGTAAAGTGCAAACGCCACGGCACTCACCGCCACGGTCGCGTATGTCCCCACTGCGAGCCAACCCTCGTTGATCCTCGTAAACGGCTTGGTAGCCGCCGTGTAACCTAACATAGCCACCGATAATACCGCGATGGCTCCGAAACAGGCCACGGCATGGGCAGGTGTTACCAACGAGATACCTAAACACATACCAACAATCAGTCGGTAGAAACAGTCGGCAATCCTGATGAAAGGAATGCGTGCTCCATCAAAGAAGAACATTGCCCGACCACCGGCAAACGGTCCCGAAAGCTGCGAGGTTTTAGCCACACACGGAATCACCACGCTGCTGCCAGAGTTCTTGGTCACGTTCGCATGGAACTGTGTCAGTGACTCATAGGTGAACAGGACATCTAGCCAATTCGTCCGCAACAACCCAGCCACCAGTCGCTGACCACGGCAGAGGCCGCCGGGCTTCCGGCACCGCACCACCTCGACCACGTGCGGCGTTTTGCCCAACCCGTAGGAGGCCTCTTGGTAATTCTGGGCGCGATACTTGTGTGGACCGTATACCGTGTCAGGCTGCGCAGATACCACCGATTGCGGCACAATGTCCGCCACCGGACTTACCCACGTGAAGGGGAACAGGCTGCGCATCCGTGTGCGGTTCACCGGCTGCGTTAACAGCTGGTCCGCCATTGCATCTGCCCAGTAGCCACTCTCGTCCTCCAACTGGCCGTCTTCCTTCAAACTGCTGTTCCAGATCCAGACGACTTTGCCGGCGTTCACCATTGCGTGGACGTCCAGCGCTTCTGCCGCAATCCAGAGCACATAGAGACCCAGTATTGCACCCGCCAGCGCCTTAAAGATCGGGCAGATCTGGTCGCTCGCGAGACAGTAGGCACACGCCGTCGCCAACGGGAACAACAGCGCGTGTAGAACGCGGTTCTCCCAACCCCCGAACTGCACGTGGTGCGGAACCGTGAAACCCTTTTCGAACACCTTGAACCGGAACAACAGCCCCAAGTGGCAGAGCACGAACCCGAATAACAGGGCCAAACCCCAGAACAGAGCGCCCTGAGCGTTCCGCGGGTCGCGCAGGTCACCTATCCGTCCGTTCCCAAAACTGTAACTAGCCGTAGAACAATTGTCACTCATCTGCACCGGACCCGGCGCGAACAGCGTAAACCACCGCAACGGCTCCGTAAACTCGGTCAGCCGCGGAGAACCCTTCAGGTTCTGACTAAAGCACAAATACTGAATTATAAACGCCAGCGTCCCTGCAATCTCCGTGGCACCAAGGGGGAATCCCAAGGTAAATACCGAAGCAGCACCCACGATGCCCAACAGAGCCGCCGTAAGAACTAACAGCAACCCGGCTAAAATGCTTCCGAGCACGCTCATTAAAGATCTCATCATGCTACCATCGAAATACAGAGGGTAATCCTGGTAGAAACGTCCCGCCTCGTGGCGCACTGAAAAATCTCCCGAATAAGTAAACGGGATTGAAGTCTGACCGTCCAACAAACGAACCTCACTCGTTCGCGCCCTAAAATGAGGAGGTAACAGCGCGCGATTGAGATTTGCCGCTCGCGCGCGTGTGCACACACGTGTGCGCGCAAACACGGTGTCACACTCGGCCGCGCAACGATGCTCGATGGAGTGTCGGGAATGTGTTGGGCGTACTTGTTGAACATGGTGTATTTTATATCAGGTTTGTTTTGCGACTGCAGTTGAACCAAATGGTAGGGCAGTTGTGGATCGGGACAGTAGTAAGCCTTCTTATCAAAATTGAATTGGCATTGCTGTTTGATAGCCGGCATATAAATATCAGTGGGTAATGTGTCGAGTTGATCGATGGTATAGTCACTAAGTACCTTGATGGCATATCTCTTATCTGCCGGCGTATCATCGCCGTTCTTTCTGTATCTGCCGCAGATGACTTCGACAACTTGGGTGTGGTGTTCGAGTTCTCGGGCCAAGTTGACTTGAGCCGAGTTCCCGGTGTACTTCTTGCCGTTGACGACCGTAGAGGTGTTGCGAGTGGTGCCTCGGCAGCGGATGTCGAGGTTTACCCGCGTGGCGTTGGGGTTGACGTAGACAGAGTAGGTCTGGACGTCTTCAGAGAGAGTGGGGTCTACGATAGCTCGGTAGCCCGTGTTGTCGGAGGCCTCGAGCCCATAGATGCCAGCGGGCGGCTCGTACAGTTGCTTGTAGGTTACGGAATAAATGCTTCGCTCCTCCGTCTCCAAGTCGCTCAAATCGATTTTCACAGTCATGTCACTCCCGTTCTCAGGCAACGGAATCTGCTTCTTTACGCCGAGCGGCGACCCTTCTGGCTCAACCCACGCGCCGTTGGTGCTGTCGTCGCCCGTCCAGGTCACCTTGACTTGGATTGGAGGCATGGCGCTGGACACGCTCTTGTCCGCGCCGCCACGCCGACTGAACATCTCCCCATTCAACCAGCCGTCCATCAAACCATTGTTGGACACTGTTCCATTCGCCGCCGACGCAGCAGTCGTAGTCGTCGGCTTGACAGTGGGCACCGCCGTACTTCGGTTGATCTTAGGAACCAACGCCACAGACGGCACCGCTTCATTCAGCGTCACTAGGTAATCGTACCGCCCAGCCTCTACTGTCGGGGGGCTCATCTCACCGTGGCTCGTGTACAACGCCGATAACGACGGCGCCTCAGCCGCAACCAGCAGCGGCGACCCCAAGGCTGAAATCGACACCATCGCATTCAACCTCATTTTCTGAAAAATTATTTCCGAGAGAAGATCCCTGGTAAGCAGATCAACCCAACCAAACTTTCCCAAACCCACCAACGCCGAAATACGCAATTTGACCGCGCACACGCGTGTGCGGCAATCACCAGAATCGGCGCACATTCGGCGAACACGCGTTCTCAACCCACCCCAATTCAACCGTGGTCTAGAATCACCTTTGGTCACTCGCGGGGGGGCATAACGGGGCACTGCGCGATCCTGACATTATTACCTTCGAATAACCAACCCCCGTGAGAGAATTTATTCCATTCCCCATCGAGTGTCGCGCGGCTCAAGCAAGACTTTACAACTGCTGCTGGAGGCCTTGCCATGGGGGCCTTGCCGAACGGAAATATTCCATGACTAAAATATATTTTGTTCATTGGGGTTTCTGTTCATTGGGGTTGCCGTTCATTGGGCCGCAAAAGTTGGCGTCCAGAGTTCTTGGCGTCTGGATGACGGTGTACGCCAGTTGACGGTCTAGACTAGTTTCGGTACCTTCGATAGGATTTGGCCGTTCCGCATGAGGATGCCAGAGTCGTGCAGGCTCTCGAGCCATTCGATGAGTGAGGAAGCGCCCAGTGGTTGTGTTGCGCTCGCTGGTTGCATTGCGCTTGCTTGTTGTCCGCGGGGGTTTGCGGTGAACGTTAAGAATTTCCGTCGTTTGCCTTTGAGTGCAATGACGCTGGGTTTGCCCGTGGGTATGCCGAAGGCGCGTATGAAGTCGAAGGTATTGCGGTTGTGGTTGTCTAGGTAGTAATATTTGGCTTGTACTGTGTGGTGTATGGCGTCTTTGAATTCTTGGTATAAGGCATGGTCGAGTGGTCCGGTGTAGATAAGGCACCATTGTGTATCTTTCTCGTTGCAGTGTCCTTGCTGTATGTCGGGTGTGAGTTTTTTAACGACCTTGGCAGAATAGGGTCCGACTTGTTTCTTGGCAAGTCCAACCCACTTGGCAAGGATCCAGTCTACGATATACTCGCTTTCCTTCATGTCCACCCACTCAACGGTTTCCGGCGCGATGTGCTTTGGGTCAGCAACCAACACCGCTAAGGACGCCCAACCGTCACTTAGCGTTTCCCCACCCGGTCCGGGTTGCTCTACCACGGCATCCAGTAACTGGGCTCGCAGTCCGGCCGAAGAACACAACACAAATACCGCCCGTTCCTTCTGCTCACTCGCCCATTGGCGCAGCCGCACTGGCACCTCGGACGCACTCCGAGCCAACAACACCACCGTCGGTTTACCCTTCACTACCAACCCGCTCAATGCACGAGCAGAACCCGCCCGAGCAGACACACCAGGCACCCTATCGTCCACCCAACGCTGCAACTCAGACGCCGCCATAAACTTCGGAGACGAATATGCTACTCGCGTCGACGACTCACCCGTTCCAAACACGACCGCCGTCTCGAACGGATGACCCCGATGCCGACTCAACTCATGGCACTGACTGCCCGCGCGACCCGGTCGACAATCTATTGCTTGGAACTACAAAACGCACCCCCTTGGTGATGCCCCTTGGTGATGCCCCTTGGTGGTGGTAGTGCTCCCCGGGGTCCCCCCCGGGGTCCCCCCCGGGGTCCCCCCCCTGGTGGCAAGTCTTACGTTCAAGTAGGCGTCGTATATCTCTGCAACGTTGACGAACTCCTTGGCCATGTTTTCAGTCCGGGAGTCATCGGCCCTAATAACGAAGAAGATGTCGGGCCATGAGGCTTGGATCGTGGCGGCGTCGAAGCCGTTGGTGTTGAATTCCACGGCCGAGTCCTGGAACCAGTCGATCTTGGATAACTGCGTGCCGCCTCCGAAAAAAGGGTGCCCACCGGCCGTTGTTTGGAACTTGTACCCTGTGCCGGGAAAGCCCCGGGGAAAGCCTCCGGCAAAGCCCGATGGAAACACGAACTGTGTACCAGCGTTCGGTAGTCTTCCCGACTCCATCATCTTCACTGCGTCTTCGCCGCCTCGGTCAAAGGCCGCCCTCAAGGTATTGTTCGACAGCACTTCGTGAGCCCACGTGATATCGCTAAATTTCTCCGCCGCCTTGGCATCATTGGGGTTACGATCCGGATGCAGCTTCCGACTTAGGGAACGGAATGCTTTCTTGATCTTCTGCACAGGAGCATTCTTACCGACTCCAAGGATTTTATAAGGGTTCCTGTTGTCTGCCAGAACAATGGATGTAAGTCAAGAACGACCACAGGTTGGTCGGGGATAGGTCAAGGAAATGACCGGGGGTGGGCGTGACTCACCTGCTGACACAAGTATCAACAGCAAAGAGAGAACGAGTGACGAGAGAGCTAGCATTTAAAAATACTGGTCCGGGCTATTCAGCACTGAGACTAAGTTCCCCCTGGGACTGAGTTTGCCCAAGACATATTAGCTTGATTTGTTCTGATTGTTATGTTGTGAGACTGCTGGGTAAAAGGGCGCTTCTTGATCCACAGACGCTTGCATTCCATCCGGGGATGTTGGGATGTTCTCTTAGCGACTCTACTTCGCCATCCTGCGCAACCATGAGGGGGTATGGGCAGAGGTGGCCGTAGGGTAAGGCGCACATTTGCGGGTTGATATATGCGAGCCAGTTTTGGAGTGCGCGGCCTCTGACAAGTCTCATGCACTTGCTGGAGTGGGGACATTCTCGGTACTCAGGTTCGAGGACGTCAAGATGTTCGTGCCAGAGTTGAAGTCGGAAGGCACGGACCGCACCGTTGGGATACTGCACATGTCCATTCTCATCTTCGACCGCTCTGAAGTGAGGCTGTATGCAGCCCACTGCGATCTCGGTATCCCTACTGCCATTGAGGGACCGCTCATTAATGTTTGCAGACCCTAACAAAATGTACTCGTCATCTATCATCATCAGCTTGGAATGGATGTAGATAGGATGTCTCTTGGTCGCCAACGCCGTCGCGACGTCCGTTGGTAAACTCGTACGAGTTGTAGACAGCTTTGCATCCGGCTCCCGGACACCCGCAAAAAAGAAACTGAGATAATCGGTTGGATGGCAGTCCGTTTTACCATACTCCTCCAACGTTGTCGCGACCTTCTTGTACATCATACGCATCGTCTGGAACTGCCAATGCAAAATCTCCTGCACACTCACACTACTCGGTGCTCCCTCCGGAAATAACGGAATCAGAACGTACACACAAAACTCCCGATCACACGCTATCGATTCACAAATACGGTCAGCCAGCATCCACGGGACCAAATTACGGCATGGCACGTCGTCATGCTGACGCCAGTACTGGCACGAACCGAGAAAATATTGGTTCTCAATGTAAATATAACTATAAACACACGTGTGTATTTTTCACGTGTAGTACAATGAACACACGTGTGTCTTACTGTTGTGCCTTTTTAATTAGGTATGAGTAGGCTTGTTGAATGCCTCTGTCTACGAAGTGTGTGTTATTCCCGAATTTAGCTGTCCACATGCTATTCTCAAAGAGGGCCGCTTCGCTGTCTAGTGATCGGAAGACCTGGACGTCCCAGGCGGCTGGGTGGTCTGGGTGTATCAGTACCTTCTTGCCATCTTTGAGTAGGTGGTTGTCCCTGAGTTCGGCGACTTTTAAGCTAGTTGCATGAACCATACGGGGTGCCTGTTTGCTGACGCGTTCGATATATGTTTGCAGGACGTCCCAGGCCGCGGGTCCTAGTATGCGGGCGTGTATATCATGCCAGGGTTCACGGGGGCCAGTTTCGGCCGTGGCTTCCACGAGACAGCCGTTATAAAAGTCATTGCGATGAGCTGTCTTAAGACTAGAGAAGGGGCTGTGTGCGGCCGTGTCATACCGACCAGATGTAAGATCCAGGCCGCCTACGAATGCCCCCACGACCCGTCGTGGACTACCGCGGTCTAGCGGGTTTTCCGAGTCGTAGACCACGATTTTCTGGTGATGTGTAAAACTGGTCCACTTAAGCAAGTCGCTAACCTCACCCAGGTCGTCGCCCGCAATCCTCTTCACTACAGCCACCTCCACCTTCGTGTCTCGAAAATACTCACGTGTGTACTCATCATACGTCGCCATTAAACCATCCTTCAACCAACTCACTCCCTCTCGAGACGTAATGTCATCCCAAACGACAACGCAGACGCTCAACCCCTCTTCCGCACGTCTCTTCAACAATTCCCCAATCGTCTCCCTACTCCGTCCAGAACGCACCTCTGGACTCAGCAACCGATCCCCCTTCTCGCCACCATTCACCTGCTCACTCTTCCCGTTAGCACTTCGCGGCATATCGCCCGCACTCCGAGGCATATCGTTCCCATTCGGCTGCTCGTTCTCCGCCCCCTTCTCCCGCGACAGAATGGGACTGTGTCCCGGTAAGGCCGGACTTGAAGCCGAAACACTAGCACTTCGGTCCGTCGTATAGCAACTCGCCGCTGCGTTCTCCACCGCAGAATTGTCTACATCTGCGCCCGGCCTGTCCATACCCAGCCTATCCATACCCGGCTTGTCCATACCCGGCTTGTCCATACCCGGCTTGTCCATACCCGGCTTGGTCATCCCCGCCTTGTCCATTCTCGCCTTGTCGGACTTCTCTCCTGACTTCTGTCGGGAGTTGCCTCGGGACCTCTCTCCGGATCGCTCTACCCCTCCAGAGCGTTCTCCCCCGCCATTGCGTTCTACGGCCGAGGCTGCCTTGCGGCCGAGCGGCGACCGTTCAACGGGTTTGTGGGACCGTGTTAGCGAAATGGAGGGGTTAACTGACCAGCCGGCGACGAAGATGAAGTGCTGCGCATTCTCGAGTGCCTCGCTAATGTCGTTCCACGTGGAGTGCGCGTGGAAAGGACCCAGCTCCGTCTCGATATCTTCGAACTGGCCCTCAAGACACTCGGCGTCGTGGTACAGCCGGACCAGGTTCCCATGCGAACGACGGAAGTATGTCTGTGGCACGTTCAGGTCCGTAGTGTGCAGGTCTTTGCTCATGTCGTACCAACGGAACTCAACCTTGACAC